GTGTTGTGTCATTCTTTGTATCAAACAATATGTTCGTTTGGCATTTTTCAAGATAGAATTGCTTCACTTTTATCTGTCATGAATTATATGTCACTTTCCATATTAAGAGTATAATTAATTTCTGCTATAATTCAATGTGCATTGTTATGAATAAATATGAAGTATTTCTATTTAGATTATTATTATTAATTGTAGCGATATATTAAGAAAAATAAGAAAAAAATCATATTTTTTAATTATAAATTAATAATAATTTTTTAATCAATGTAAAAATAAAAATAAAAATTTATCTTTGTGGTAAGGAAGGGATTATTAATAATGACATTGTGTTCACAAGCAGTTTGCATATTTCCCGGGTTACAGTTAAAAAGCAAAATAGCAAACGTTATTACAGACTACAGTGTTAGTTAATGGAGCTATAATTATATATATTTACTGCAAAACCCCCAAACTTTTGGACCCAGATTTGGAAATTCCCATTTGCCCCGATTCATTCATTTTTGTTCTTCTCCATGGCCGCCGACGCCTCCCCGAAATTCTCGAATTCTGACCTAATACAGGTCCCCCAGTTGCCCAATTACCACCCAGAAATCGCTGTTATCTCGCCGGAGTCCGACGGCCTCCAGTTCTGGCAGTTTATGATCGCCGGCTCTATTGCCGGCATGATTGAGCATATGGCCATGTTCCCCGTGGACACTATTAAAACCCGTATGCAAGCCATTGGCTCCTGCCCTATTCAATCAGTAGGTGTAAGAAAAACCCTTGAATCTGTCCTCAAATCTGATGGCCCGAAAGGGCTGTACCGCGGTATTGGAGCTATGGGCCTCGGGGCTGGCCCGGCACATGCTGTTTATTTTTCTGTTTATGAAGTTTGCAAGAAGAAATTTTCTGGTGGAAATCCGAATAATTCTGTGGCACATGCTGTTTCTGGTGTTTTTGCTACTGTTTGTAGTGATGCGGTGTTTACTCCTATGGATATGGTGAAGCAGAGGCTGCAATTGAGTAGCAGTGCGTACAGTGGGGTGTGGGATTGCGTGAGGAGGGTATTGGGGGAGGAGGGGATTAGGGCATTTTATGCATCTTACAGGACCACCGTAATAATGAATGCACCTTTTACGGCAGTACATTTTGCCGCCTACGAGGCGGCAAAAAAGTGTTTGATAGAGGTTTCTCCAGCGAGCGCGAGTGATGAGAGGTTGGTGGTTCATGCTACTGCTGGAGCGGCCGCCGGCGCATTGGCGGCTGCTGTAACAACGCCACTTGATGTGGTGAAAACGCAATTGCAGTGTCAGGTAGTTGAATTTAAATTTGTTTTCTTGTATTAAAATTTATCTTGGTACATTTGAGCCATCATGTGATTATGGGTGCTAACTTGATGTTTATTTTCTAGTAATAAGCTATTTCAATAATTAGCTATATTTAACAAAGTTTGTGAGAAGAAAAGAAATTCCATCACAAGTCAATTTGCTAAGACCAACAGTTGGCTGCTAACTTAGCCTTAAGTTTAAGTTGTTAAGGAGTACAATATGAGAATTTTTTACTGTGATGGTGTCTTTTTTTATGTGGCTTTCAAGTGCATACTGTCTTACTAGAGGTTCTTGATGTATGGTAGCTCTAGATTGAATTCCTGCTGATCTTTTTATGACCTCTATTTGAATCACTAGACTTTTAGATTTGATATGAGTCGTGTCAGTGGATTTGCACATCACGCACATCATGCTAGTTTGATTCTATTACGTCCCACAATCATATTCTCGATCTTGTAAGTTTCTTTATCAATATTTCAACTAATTTTAGGTCTTCTACTTGTTGTAAGAAGATCCTAACATATATAATTTTTGCCATTCACCATAATTCAGACCTATGTGTATTTCTCCCTAGGTTTCAAGTTAAGCGTCTTGGTTTCATTTTGTTGTTTGTTTAGATAAGTTCAGAATTTGATGGTGCGATAAATTGATATGTGCAGTCGCATGTTTTTGAATTTTGGGTGTAGTAAAAGTTAGAAAGTGTTGGGAGAGTAGGGTGAATGGAGGAGGATATTTTGGAACTTTGTTAGTTGTTGATCTGAGTAAACATGTAAAATGGATTGGTTAAATTTTTGTTGGTATTCGAGGAAAAACTATTCTTCTTTATGACACTTAAAATGTAAAACTGATTCTTACTTCCTCATCTTCGTTAGTAATAGAAAATTTGTGAACTAGATGCTAGAATGTGGTGGAATTTGTTGCCTTCTAAATCTTTGGTTTCTTTATTTCTCTCTTTCACAATAGGTTTGTTTTGTGCCTTCCATAAAGTTTTGAAGTACTATAGTGTGCGGCTAGATTGACTTCAGGTTTGGCATGTTGTACACAATATATATTATTTATTGCATGGGGAAATTTGAGTGTATTAAACTAATCATAGAAATCTAATGGTACATTAATAACCACACAAGTAACAAGAAGTTGAGTTTCGTTCATATTAAACTTCAGTTAGATGCATGTAGGGGTGTCAATGAGCCGGCTCGCGAGTTGAAAATCAAGGCTCGGGCTCGGCTCAAGGTTTTTGAAGACGGGCTTTTTTTGGCCCTTTTGCTCGGCCAAAAAATGGAGGCTCGACTAGAGCTTACTGAGCCGATCCGGGCCGAATCAAACTGGCTCANTTTTTTTTTTTTTTTTTTCTCTCCTGTTGAGGCAGCTGGCACGTTGCCTAAGCAGCTCAAAAGTTTATTTTTTTTCTCGAGCCGGCCCGGCACCCCAAGATGGGGCTTGGGCTTTTGCAGGCCGGGCCACGGTAGGCCCGAGCCCGCGAGCTTATTTGCCATCCCTAGATGCATGAATCCGCTGTCTTCAGTAGGTGCAATCCAGTTACAATTACCAAGTTTTCCAGGGAAATTGTATCTTTTGCAAGTGAATCGAGCCGTGAAATTTGGTCCACACTTTTCTTACATAATCTATTGCAATCACATCTTTCTTGTGAATCTGAGTTTGTTTAGGTACACACTATACATATTGCAACCATAGAAGTCTTCCATGGATAGGTCATAAGGTCATCCACAATTATTAAAAAAAAAATAATAATAATAATAATAAAAGAAAAGAAAAGACGAGGATATCATTATCAGGGCTAGAACCTTGATGCAAGCCTGTAGTAATAGAAGATTCTGTACTGGTATCTCAATAGATCTTATACCGGTGGTTGTTGTATTATGTATATGTTTAATAATATTAATATGTACAATAGAAGTTTAATTTTTATCCATTACCCGCCCTAGCACTTCTCTTTATCATAGGATTATCATTTTCTAAATTAATGAGAACCATATGGTCCCTATGTTAATCTTAGTTCTTTCATATATAGTTTTCCATCAATTTCGGGACGAATGCTGACTCACTGTCTAGCTCAGGGAGAGGGCTTTCTTTAAACGAGGGGAGGCTTTAGAGGGGGAGTTTGTGAACTAGATAATAGCTTGCGCAGTAGATTTACTGTCTAAAACTAAATTAGTTCCATAGAAATACCTAAGTAATACCCAGTCACTCTTTTCCGGCATGACAAATTAATAATCATGAGCTCGATGCTTTTATAGTTTATACAAGGCAGATAATTCCTAGAAGACATCTAATTGGACTAGAAAAAAATTAGGTTTGTTTCTTTCTCCAATCTGGTCTCCGTCTACATATAAAAGCTGAACGAAAATAGATCATGGAATACAAACAAACACCAAAAACAAACTAGAAGCATTTCATCATTAATTGCTCCATTCAGGCTTTATTCTGTACATTTTTCTTCATTTTGTTCAGGGATTTGAAGCCTGAACAGAGGGAAAAAAATAAAATTAAAGTCCTAAAACCTTTTTATTTATACCTATATGTTTCTCTATGGGCGTTCCCAATTGGTATCAGGTTAGCCTGCATTTTTTCTAGCTTTTCAGGCCTTCACCTTGGCTTATTCTGGCCTAGCTTTTAGCACTCGTGGTGTCTGATGCATAAATTTTTTGGTATTTCATCTTTACTGAATGGTAAAAAGTCAGATATTTATCAATATCAGTGGAGATTCTTCATTTTGAATTCACATTATTATCATGAATAAAACAGGATAGATAGAATGTCGCCTTATTATTGTAAAATTCAAGTCACTATGTTTTTTTATTGAGCAACATACTGAAGGTGTTGCTTTTATTTTTATTTACAGAAACTCTCTCGAAATTGGAAGTTTGTAGTTAGAAAAAAATAAATAAAAATAAAAGGAAAACAAACAGGACTAGTCATAGAAAATGCCTTCATATACGTCTGGTTTCCTTAACGGAGATAGTAAAAGGTCAAAGTTCAGTGATTTTCATTTCACCTTGTTGCCTTGGTCACAGAAATATTTGTAATAAGCACCTGATGGGAGAGGTGAGGCATTTTATAAGATATTCTCCATAACTATTAGGTGCTTATTCATGTAATGCACATGGCTTTTAGGATTCCTAGTTTAATGAAGTATTTTATACTTGAGCAGTCTTATATAAGTATTCTGAATGGAATGCTGTCATCCATTCTCACTAAGTGCAGAAAAACCTCATAAAACAAGGGCTGAAAATAAGGACAAAATATGTAAAACCAGAAACAGTTTAAGAAGCTAGGGGAGCTAAAAAAAAAAAAAAAAAAAAAGGAATTCCCATGAGAAACCTTTACAGAAAAATTGAGAAGTGGAAATTGAGTTTTATTTCTTTCCGCTATTGTTTACCCCTTTTTCATTTCTTTTACTTGTTTACAATTTCTCTAGCATGGATAACTCGATTGTTCCCATGTTTTTAAACCAAAGTCAATTGTTATTTGAAGTATAATCATGTAATGGGGTCCTTTGTTGGTGAAATCGCCATTTCAGTTTCTCTTCAATTAACTAAAAGTATCAAAGGTTAATTATGTAGTTTTATTTGACTATAAGGTGATGTTGCATTGATGAGTATTCTAGAATTTCATGTGCTCTAATGTAGCATTCCCTATGCTAAAAGATTTTGGAAATGTTGAATAATCTCAAACTACAGTCTTTCTTTGTTACAAAGTTCTAGGGGTTAGAAAGAAGACGCTTATTTATTTAAATTACATCTTTGACACGCCGTCTCATGTGAGGCCTGACATGAGCGCACTTGAACTCTCCTTCTCTGAAAATCACGTTGAATCATCTCGTCTAAAAGTTTAAGTATTTAGAGGGAAACTATCTTATTGATTCAAATTATACCTTTAACATGTTACTTTATCAACTCGGTTTTTACAGGGTGTCTGTGGATGTGATAGATTTGCCAGCGGTTCAATCAGGGATGTTATACAAACAATAGTGAAGAAAGATGGTTACAGTGGTTTAGTAAGAGGATGGATTCCTAGAATGCTCTTCCATGCTCCTGCGGCTGCGATTTGCTGGTCGACATACGAATCCGTGAAGGCATTTTTTCAAGAATCAAACTAGCAGTAGCTATGGTAACATTACATGAGAAACAATGCAGACAGAATGCCTTTTTTTTTTGCCCTTTAGAGGGCATTCATATGCCGGGGGATGGGCGAGTGTTCGACCGAGCAACTTTCTCTGCTCAATTTGGTTCGTTTAACAGATGTGAGAGGCTATGCTCGCGGTTTTGGAGCATAATTATGTTTACTATTAAAATTTCAGTTGTAATAAGCCGGTGTAGGAGACCGCTCTCCCCTGTATTTTTTCGAGATTTTTACAATGTACCTAAATTTATACAATTTTCCTTTTCTAGGACTTTGTCTTATGGATTGGAAAAAAAGATGTAAGGTCGATCAGACATGGAAATATTGGATATTAGCTGGTGATGAAATTTTATTTTTCATGGATCAATTGTTATCTGTTTCTCAAGTTAATACAATTTTCTAATTTTTGGATCCTTTTTTTTTTTTTTAGCCCCCGTCTGGTCCCCATTTTGTGGTAATGAGAATGGGTAGAATAGTGTTTTTTTTTTAAAACTAGTGGTCGAAAAAGAAGGAATTTTTTTTAATTTATGTGTAATATTATTTTATGAAAGATTGTGTGGTTGAAAATAGGAAAGAGAAAAATGAAATGTAATGAAATGAAAATTAATGGGCCAAACGAAAGGTTAATCTATTTTTCTGAAAAAGAGGAAGATAAGCCTGTAAAAATAAGTTATTTGATTGTTTAGCAGCTGAGGCGACCGTTTCTGTACAAAAAAGACCTAAATGTAACGAAAATGAAAGTTTGGGACTTTGACTGCTAATTAAACTTACTTCCAATCGGGATTCGGCCAGTTTCGGTTTAACCTACAATTAGCTGGACCGTTTGTAACTTTGTTCTTGGTGATTCACTCGCACCCGGTTTAATTTCTTTCTACACAACGCAGAATTCATCCCCAAAGACCAGAGCTGGCATCTCAAGCTTCCAGCCAGGTTGCTTTTATTCAGTATTACTTTGATTAATCATTTTTCTTTGTTGGGAATAGAATGTAAATGGAAAAATGGGAATTTGAGTGCCGAAAATCAAATTAAAATTGAATATGATTTTGTTCCTAATTCGAAACTCCATAACTTTAATTTGTTTCAGTGAATTTTTGCAAGATTGTATCATAGTTTCATGAAATTTTGAATACGCTAAGAATAAAACTGATTTGTTGTTCTGTTTTCTAATTTTTGTGATTATATTGCGCATGTGAACCTATTTAGAGATGGACCGATCGTATCAAGAAGAACCTGAAAGTCTTGAAGCTTCATTGCTTCAAATGATCCATGATCACAACCATGCTTCTGCCATACTACGTGAACGCACTGGTCAGTTTTATGCACAGAATTTGTGCTTGATCTTTGGGATTTTTAATTCTTGGGTTTTAATGATGAAGGCATTGAGTTTAATCACGTTTCATGTTGGTTTGTTTGTAACAAATTAGAGAAAGCGAAGAAAGAAGCGATTCAGACTGCTGCACGCGTTTCAGATTTGGTGGTGAATGCAGTGAATGAGGGTGTGCAAGAGGTCTACATAAACGAGAAGCGAATTGAAATGGAAATTCGAGCATTGACAGCTAGGATTATGCTATTTAAGAAACAGACTGATCAGTGGCTCACAGCGTCTCATGCTATTAACACTGCTGTCAAGGTTTATACTTTGTACACTCGATTTTTGAATGACAAGTATACTGGTTTTTGACTCCTTCCATTGTAATTTAGTGCATGAAATGTGATGGTTTTAGTTTTAACTGCAACTTCTAGGATATTCTGTATGTGCACGCTACTAAAATTGTTGAAATCATGGATAATATATATCAACGGTTTGACCTAAACAACTTAGGCAGATGATTTCATGAGATTAACTTCTCAGATTGGATCTTGGACTCAATGGGTAGAACTATGCAAGAACAATTCTTTCTTCTTATTTTCCTTTTGCATTTTAATTATATAAAAGAGCATTTTCAACACACTCTCTATTTTTAAAGATACATTCTATTATTTGGAGAACATCTATAAATTTAGAGAGTTAAAATTTTGGAGTACTCCAACAAGCTTTTTATATTTAACACTTAATTTTATTACTCCCAAAAATATGTTTATTATTTTTCTCTATCTTTTATTTTAACTAACTTTTCTCTGCATTATTTTATTATTTTCCTACATTGAAAATTAAAACACTTTGAATGCATTTAATTATAGAGAGTAAGTTTGGCAAACCTACTCTCGATTAAAATGTTAATATCTTGGAACATGATTTAAAAGTTTGATTCTTTAAAATAGAGAGCATTTCATGTTTAAGGAGTCCCTTGGAGATGATCTAAGTTATATATTCAAACTTACATGACTTATATACCAAGGTGAAAGATGCTTCTTAGCTTTTGTTTAATTCATATGATCCGTTTATAAACACTCAAGCCACTTTTTTTCTCACGTACAGCTAGTCGTTATTTATTTATCCCATTTATAAATACTTCCAAAACATGCTTTTAGCATATGCGCATACAGACATGACTTGCAAGAAGTAAAAGACATTTATGAAAATTTTACTTCCATTGGTCGGCTTAGTTTAGGAAGTTAGGTTAACATGTTGATGTAGTTAAATCTGTGATTTTATGCATGAATGTAGTTATTAGAAAGAGATTAAGGATGCAACTTATTTTATTACTTTTACAATCGAGTGAAAAGAAAATGATAAACTGATAGCAATTGGGAATCAGGGAAATCAAGAAAATTTGAAGCTCTACATGTTTTCTAATTTTACTATGATATTTATCATATGATGCCCTCTTATCTGGACGGAGTTTCATCCCTATTACTGGGTACAAGAAATGTCTGCTAAATTGAAAGATTTTTTGCTCCATTATATTGACTCCTGGATCGTCAAACAACCAACTATAGTCTATGAAATTCAGCAATTTTATGCCCTGGGCTTGATCATTTTGATTGTCATTTTGTGTAATTACGACACTTTTTCTACTCTCGAATACATACTTGGATGATCTACGAGGTGCCATAAATGCTAAGGAATCATTAATTGTGAGTTGGAATTTTACAAAAATTTGATTTGCAACCTGCACATTTTTTTTACTCAAGGATTTGTGGTTGAATGGGATATAGGATAAGCCACTGATTCCTGACATTATTATGGATTATATATACAGGAAATTGGAGATTTTGAGAATTGGATGAAGATAATGGAACTTGATTGTAAAAGCATTAGTGCTGCAATCTGCAACATTCACCAAGAATGAAATGACAAGGCAAGCTTTCAATTCCTATCTTTGCATAATTCTTGTCCTTCCCTGTATACATGTTGTCTCATGGGGCACTTCTTTTATTACTTGTCATTATTAATTGAGTAGAAGCTCTAAAAACTTCTTTTCTGGTTTATGGCATGTCTATTACCTTTTAAATATTGACTTTTTTATGCGTCCAGACTCGTTCCAACTGATTTATTTTTGTGTGCTGGCCTTATATGTTTGATAGTTACCATTTTCCAGCCTCCTCTCCAGTTCACTGGATTTTCAGGTGTCAGACAGCAAGTTATCTAAGTTGCCTGCACTAACTGGGTAATTGCACTCACTCATCTCTAGGCAAACATTTAGGCAAATGGGCAGTTGCACAGATTAACTCCAGCCAATACTACTGGAATTTTTTTTTTGAAAAAAAAAAAGAACAAACTCGATTGAATGTTATTATTGTGTTATTAGCATTTCAAAAGGCATATGTGAGTTGAATCAACTGGTTCATACTTTATCTGGTTTGAGACTGAAAGACGCAACTTGAGAGCTTTCAATGAACTTAAAGCATGTTTGGGAAGTGTTTAATAGTTTTGTTTATAAAGAAATAAGGAGTGGATAGGTGGGCAGTACTTGTGTCTCCCATGAAACGTGTGAATATAAAGTGATCGGAATATATATAAACATGAGCGACATATAGACTTAATCCTATGAAGCTGGTGCTGTCGAATTAGACTATCCATCCTGTCAAATGAATAGGTCATTATTGTTGTTGTGGACTAACCCATCCAAGAAAATATAAGATCTCTGCATGTTATGTGCCATTTAATAGCGTCCAAACTGGAATGTGGAGGATATATGTTTATTTCTGATGGCAGGTGGATAAATCAATGTATGTAAGATGGTATAGTCTAAACTCTAAACCATGAAACTGATATGTCTATATTTCCGTGAGTGCTAAGGTTTAAAAATTGAGATTTGTTTCACTGGTATAACCTGAAGTCTAGAAAGCACTACTGAATCTAATCATGCGCGGAAATGAGCCAATAGCCCAAGGATTTTCATTTGATGTCAGACTTCTGCTTTAGGAGTTCATGAAAGGTAAGAGGGCAGAATAAACTGCGTCCCATATGATGACAAATTGGAAATATTGAAGAGTCTGTGTTTTTCCCCCTTTTTTTTTCAATTTCATTGATCATTTTGGGCCGCAGCAGGTTGTGTTTTTTGTTTTGGATGGTTGGATCCTTGGTTTGCAGCAAATGATAGTGGAATTTTGGTGAATGGAGTATAAAAACTATTATTTTCTATAATTTTTCAAGCGTAGGCATATTTACCAGCCATCAGGGGTGGTTTCTTCTTTTACTTGTTTCCAAGATTCCAAATGTGAATAAAAATTTTAAAATGCTGATGATGTTCTACAAGTTAGCATTCAGCTTTTGGTGCTGTCAATAATTTATTACTACATTTTGTAATCCACGGTATTCTAGCCCGCAACAACCCCTCCCTCTTGGGCGAAGACACAGGGCTTGACATTTGGTATTACAAAGATTATCAGACCTCTATATCGGATTTTATGATTAGTGGTGCCATTTTTCTAATGCAGAGGATTCTCAAAGAGGCAACTGCAGAACATACTTTGATACTACTTAAATCTTGCTCTTACTATTCATCTTAGTGTTATCACTGTCATCAAGACTATGGAAGAATGAGAAAAGGGTTTTAGAAACTCATAGAGATAAGAAACAAATTATTTGATAAAGAGCTGGACTCGAGATGTCTTACAACGAAAGAAGAGGACCCTTTATATAGAAGAGGGGATCCTTCATGCACAATTATACAATCAACACACAAGTACAATAATTTTAGAATAGGACAAATGACTTATCACTACTTTTAATAAAGTAGGTAAGATAATTGACACAAAGGAAATAATTATACAAGAAGATAAATGATTCATTACTACTTTTGATAAAGTAGGATAAGATTCTGACACACAGGTAATAATTTTACGTGACGACAAACACCTTTTTAAAAAGCAAAGAATTCGCTTTTAAAAAGGGTACTTATTACAAACGACAAAGGGTTTTAGATAAGCTTTCCATGCGAGCTGAGTCATCAAGGTGTTCCAAAATTTGCTGCTAGTCCAGGTACGTTTGATGAATCAGAACCAAAGGGGATCCATGTTTTCACTAAGGCCAATTTTTAGTATCAATTGTTCTTCAAAAAGATTTTCTTATAATTTTTCAAGATTATCTGGATTTGTTGGATCAAAATCATATGGTTGTGTTTCATAGTCATATATGAATTTTGAGAGTCCTGGAAAACGCTGTTATTCAAGTCTAGATATTTAGAAGTCTGGTTATCTAAATTACTTGGTCCTCGTTAGTTCATTTTATCGATTCTTATTTTTTCTATGAATTCATTCCTAGGGGTGGGCGCGGGTCGGTTCGGTTCTAGAGAACCGAATCGAACCAAAAGTTTTGGATATCTAGTAAATAGAACCGTCGGGTCCAAATATAATTATGGAGCCGTCTGAGTTCAGTTCTGTACTATAATTAAATTTTTTAACATTTATAACAATATTATATAAATACAACTAATGATACATTCAATGATTTTGGAATGTTATAAACTAGTAGACTACCTTGTTCAAATATCGCTACGGTCAAAATTTCGGTCAATGGAGGTCGCAGCTTCGATCGGAGGTCACAGCATCGGCCGACGATTGTATATATTTTGAAATGTCAGCAAGGCTGCGAGAGTGAGTGCGAGAGTCGAGACAACTTATGCACTTTAGTGTAGGTGTTTAGAGTTATTTAGTAGATTGGATCTTGTTGGGCTAAGAAATGAAACAATAAAATGGGTAATGGGGCCAAAAATTAAAAAATTAGAAATGAAACAAATTATTGGGCCAAAAATTTGGATTTAGAAATTGTTAATTTGTTTAGAGAATTAAAATTAAAATAATTTGATTTACTCAATATAAAAAAATTAGAAAGATTCGGTTCTTATTCGGTTCTTGGTCTAGAACCGAGAATCGAACCGTACCCGTCGGTGTTTCAATTTAGATACCCGTTCGGGTATTTAATTTGACAAGAACCGTCGGGTTCAGTTCGGTTCGGTCGGTTCGGGAGATTCGCCCAACTCTATTCATTCCAGAGATTTTCACGAAGTTGTTGTCATTTTGCTGGTGTTTCTGGATATTTGGATGTTTCTCCAAGGCATTGGTGTGGCCTTCTTAAGAAAAGCTGGTTCCAACGTGTCATGTCATTTTCCCATGAAGTAGATGGAAAGTGTCCAAATATCTGTCATTGACATTGTGATTCTCTGTATTTTTAGATGTCCTACTGGATCTTGGTTGCATAGTTTAGAGGCAAAATTTTCCACGGTGTATCATCTTTTATGTTTGGCCAAATTTGAGGAGGAATTATCTGGTTAATTTTGGCTATTCTTCCTTGGAATTCTTGAAACTCCTTACATTTCCTAATCTTGGTGTAAATTGAAAGGCTGGACTGCATATTCTTTAACGAGAAAAATGCTCGTATGAACCTATATATGTGAAGTAACTTTGTCTTCGGAAAACCAAGATAACAACAACATTGTCTTGAGAAGTTCTCAAGTCTTTGAATTTTAAACAATGTCAAGGACAGATATTTGGGCACTATCCATCTGCTTCATGGGAAAATGACAAGACACGATGGAATCAGTTTCTTAGGAAGGTCACACCAATGCATTGGAGAAACATCCAAATATCTAGAAACAACGTCAGAAGGACGACAACTTCTTGAAACCTCTGGAATGAATTCATAGGAAAATGAGAATTGATAAAATGGACAAACCATGACCAAGTAATTCAGATAACCATACTTCTAAATCTCTGGACTTAAATAACAATGTTTTCTAGGACTCTCAAGATCCATATGACTATGAAACACAATCATATGATTTTGATACAATAGATTTATATAATCTTGAAAAATTGGAAGGAAAACTTTTTGAAAAAAAAAATGATATTGAAAATTGGTCTTGGTGGAAACAACATGAACTCTCCTCTGATTCCGATAACTCAGACGTACCCGAACGAGCAGCAAACCTTAGAATACCTTGATGACTCAGCTCACGTGGAAAGCTTATCTAAAACCCTTTGTCGTTTGTAATAAGTACCTTTTCTAAAAGTAGATTCCTTGCTTTTTAAAAAGGTGTTTGTCGTCATATAAAATTATTAACCATGTATCGGACTCTTATCCTACTTTATCAAAAGTAGTGATGAGTCATTTGTTTTTCTTGTATAATTATTGCCTTTGTGTCAATTGGCTTTTCCTACTTTATCAAAAGTAGTGATAATTCATTTGTCATGTTCTAGAATTATTGTACTTGTGTGCCGGTTGTATTATTGTGTACGAAGGATTCCCTCTTCTATATAAAGGGTCCTCTTCCTTCATTGTAAGACATCTCGAGCCCAGCTCTTATGAGTTTTTAAAAGCTTTTCCTCGTTCTTCCATAGTCTTGACGACCATGATACACAAAGATGAATAGTAAGAGCAAGATCTAAGTAGTATCAAAGTATGCTCTGCAATTGCCTCTCTGAAGATCCTCTGAATTAGAAAAATGGCACTACTGATCATTAGATCCGATTGGAGGTTTGATAATCTTTGTGACGTGCCTGATTTAATAAGCAAAACGTGGCAGTGGCTACTAGCCTACTATCATTTCCAAAATGGGTTTGGCATTATTAGAAGTTACTATGGTTAAATTCATAAATTTTAAAATGGGTTAGGTCTAAAGGGGCACCCAAACAAGTGTCTCTGGACAACATTGCTTTGTTGGCTATCCTTTTCCCCTCGTTGATTGTCTCTGTCATGCAGAGATCCTGCAAGGACGAAAGCTATGCATTGTGGAATTTATTTGATGGGTGCAATTGCTCTTCTTCACAGCGGGTTTTGTTGCCTGATGGAGTGTGCGGAATTTCTAGGCAGCATGTGTGGAAATTGCCCCCAATGGCGAGGACGATGGTGGCAGAAGAATCGTGCACTGCAATGCACAAATTTGATGGCATGTGTTGTGAGGATTTGTGCAGCAAGGCATGGATGGGTTCCTACTTGCTACCTAGTTTAATCCACATATTCGAAGCCAAAAATTGGTGAACGTTTTGTTGATCAAAATCAGGCACGACGGGGGGGTAGGGTGGTAGATTGGCAGATAGTACATGTAGATTTATAATAACAAAGTACATGTGAGGAGAATATGGTCCTTACCCCCATAATTACTGAGAGTATGTAGAGAGGGTTTGCGTAAGCAAAATATGGAGGTACTACCTCCATTACAAATAGTCTACGAAAACCTTAATAAAACTATAAATTTGCAAGTGTTACTTCCATTTGCAAAAATGGCTATAGAGGTTTATCACTAGCAATAACCTTCATTATTTTTGGAAATAAGGAATTCTACCGAGGTTTATCGCTAACATTAACCTTCATTATTTTCGGAAATAAGGAATTTGCATCTTATCAATTCTTATCTGACACTGAACCGTACCTTGCATGTTCCCATTTCGAATATTTGGGTAGTCTCCTTCTCCATCCCCTCAAATGTGTGCAACACTTGAAAGCTCAATTCATTTATCAACAATTTATTTCCATCAACAGTTTTTGAAATACGTAACTGTTGTTAAACTCTTGCCTTTTAGGTTCTATCCCAGTCAATGGTTTTCACGATGACAATGTGGTGGGAAGCGTACTGTGATTGCCAATCAGTGATGCTGAGTGGATACAGTACTGCAGAAAGATGCCTTGTCGACATGTTTGGGATCTGCTGCGGCATTTCCCGTGCAAATCAATGATATTTCACTATGTCTGTGCCTGCCAGTAGTATTGAAAATATCAACTGTAAATATGTGCCTGCACTTGCATGCAGACATTTCAGCACCATAAATAGAAAAGGGGAGTCGTGTATTTTACAAGAACCGTGAGAATGATCTTGATGAACACCTTTCGTCTCCTTTGCCTGCTTATCATTTAAAGTTCTAATATAATCATGGTAAGAGATTGCAAACGTTACCTAATTATTTTCAGTCCCAACCTGCTAATGCTTTTCTTCTCCTTTTCTAGAAGTGTGGTGTGATGGCTGCTATTATTCCTGCACCTACTTTGTCGATTTATAAGCACGTTGAGCACCTTTTTTAACAAACCAATTATAAGGGTGACAGCTAAGTGAGTGTAACCGTGGTATTAGAAAAGCCTCGTTTTGAAGTACTTCACTGTTGACGTGTGCACTAAGTGTGGTAGTTTTATCGGATATTGTTTCTTTGATGGTCGATATGAGTTGTGGTTCCTGCTGCTTTATTCCTCAAGAAGAAAATATGGTGGGGGTGCTTCTCGTCAGATTAGTTGTAATTGGTCTAGTATCTTCATTGCTTGCTTCTTTTTCCATTTGGGATGTTTTAGGTTAATAAAGTACATTGTTCCTAAAATAAAAAAGCCTGGCTACGTGGAGTTATCCAACTGAAAGTAGATCACCATGGGAGGTGAACTACTAATCTAATAATGCTATTTAAAATTACTATTGTTACAACATGAGCCTAGATGGCATAAGGTATTAGTAAATGAAACGTACAATTAAATAAATCAAATAATTTCACCTTTAATTGAATTTATAACACACTACAACGCCATAAAAAGTTCTTTACGACGTATAGGCGAATGACATATAAAGTAATGCACGCCGTAAAAAGTTCTTTAGCATATAGGCACATGTCATATAAAGTCATGCCGTAAATACTAGCATCCTTTTATGGCAATATGCATTGCACGCCGTAAATACTCAGCTCCATGCCGTAAATGTGAATTTCATTTTTTAAAAATATTTATTTATTTAATTACCAACAAGTGTATAATAATTAATAATTAAAAGAAGAATATATACGAACACATATAATATAATCATGTTTTCAATGAATAAAAATATTAAGTGCAATCAAATATAATATTCCAAAATGTAGAGTTAATCTAAATGATTACTAAAAACATCATTAACCTAGTCAAAAAGTCGATATCAATATACCAAAAGTATCTATTACTACTCCAAAAATAACTTATTAAAATAGTACAAAATATTCGACCCATATTGAAGACATCCCACAATCATGGTGATCTTCTGTTGGCAAGCAAGCATTTGGATCAGATTTGTACCTTGTAACATGGTCAGCGAATACCGGATTGCTACATACGACATGCTTTATTTTAGTCTGTGAGACTGAGTAGTCCTGGAATCAAAATAAAGAGAAAAAGTAATTGATCATAGTGTACCTTTATAAAATAAATACCAAGTGACAAACATCAATTTCATTTCACTTGGCCTAGTGTATATGGCTATTGAAATTTACGAGTAAGGTCCTCTTTATTATGGTTCTTGTCCAAAATTTAAGAGTAAACAACAAAACAAGTAAAATAAGACAAAAAAAAATTACTAGAAGAGCAAACTGGACATACCCAAGTCATGGCCACTTGTGCTTTTGACTCCACTACTTGTGCAGCTTAGACTTCATGAACCAATCCAATTTCAAGTAATGGAAGAATATGCATCTACGTTATTTAACTAACGGCAACTAAAAAGAAAAATAAAAACCATGACAATGTGACTCAAAACCATAGCCGAAGGTTAGCCACAAGACATCATAGATCAATTTATAGAGAAACTAGACTAGATAAATGGTGGCAATGGGAATTAATATTCTTTAGTCACTATCATAAACAAAAGGTCCATTTGTGAAAATAATGAGACCATAAAATTTATAAGAATGATAGCTAGCAATTTATAAAATTATATTAACGACTACGACTTAAAGATGGAATGAAAACCAAAAAGGCTAGTCTCAAAACCCTGTTATAGGAAATTTTTATCAGTGGTGAAAAGAGACGTCTTTAGAGCCACATTTTTCCTACCTCTTCGTAAATGACAATAATATTTTGTAATTAAGTTCAGAGACCATATATACCAACAAGGCATTTATTTAAGCATAAAAATTCCAAACCAACATTTTGGCTGCAACACGACTAGAAAAAAGTTTAGTCAAAATGTGTGAAGATCATAGTAGACCTTGTTCTGAACCCGATTTTTCTGATACTTCGCTCCAACTCCATTTGGTCCATAGTTCATTCCATTGTATGCCACTACTAGAAAAGGTCAATGAATACATTACCGTAAAGAAGCAACTGAAATCGAAAATGAAGCACGCACTTTCCAAAACAATTTCTTATAAACACCTTTGAAATTGCAAAAACTATGAAGCATAAACATCAATGAAATAACTCCAGCATAACATGCAAAACTTCTGCAAAAATTTATAAGCTAAAAAATCTAAATTAATGAATTCACCAATCTCTGCAATTATCTATAATTTAAGATCATCTCATATTCCCATTTTATGAATGAGAATAGTCCCTCCTTTAGCAAAAGGCATTTTATCTCCAAGCGTTTAAAACAAGTTATACAAGTCATACCCAGACTTTCCAAAGTACATTCTAACAGCCCAATAGTTACTGTAGCATGCACAGAATGAAATAGTGATGCAGGAACTCTGCTTTCACCAGATTGAAAAGAAAAATGCACTTCAAAATATAGAGAACAAAGATAAGAATGAGAATACACAAGGAAAGCCACCAGAGTAGAAGAAAAGCCTATCTAGTCTCACAAAGATAAGATTACTAAATTTTGTTGACTTAAACTTCCTAACATCCCCCAAGGATATTGGGAACTGAGGCTGAGGCGCTATAGGTTTTGTGGTAGATTATTGAGAGTTCATTTTTTTGTAATGGCAAGGAGGATGAGAGATGGTGGGCAAAATGGTGGCTTTTGCCCACCAACCTGCTACTGTTCAAGGCAATTCAAGCTCGGTTTGTCGATTGGCACATAGCGAATTTAGAAGTCTGAGATTTTTTCTCTCTTCAGTCCTGACCTCGATACATTTTGGGCCTAGGAATCCGTTTCTTGATGCAAAACTGTTTGCGGGAGGAAGTGGACTGGATTTTTCAGCATCTATGCAATAAACAGGGTCACCATGTACACACATCTCAGAGTAAAATAAGATCTTTAATCAGAGTAATTGAACTGTTTTTACCATGTACATGTATGTTCCCATTTGTGCATAGTTTAGAGAAAATTATAATTGGGTGAATAATTTAAAGGCAAGTAGACAGATTACAAGTTTGGTGACTGAAGCTTACTATAGATTCTAATCATTCCAAATCAATAATGAAATCGTATTCTGGCCCTAAATGTTGTGAAATAGCAACTCGTTGGCCACTGCCCAATGCACGCCCAAATCAATTCCTAGCTACATTCAATCCCACAAATCACATAACCATAATACCCAAGCCCCAACAACTCATTTTCAAATAGAAACCCTCGTCAAGTTTTAGCAAACAAATATAATATCAAACAGTCTGAAGCCAGGATTAGAAGGTTAGGGTTCATTGAAATTTACGGGAAGTGGAGAGATCCGAGCAGTGGCGAGAAAAAGAAATAAACTGGAATCAAATACTTCCAATGGCGTCGGTGACTCACAGTGATCGGTAGATTTTGAGCGATTTCTCTGTAGTCGCGGGATGAACACTGTAGTTCGGTGACTCACAGTGATCGGTAGATTTTGAGCGATTTCTCTGTAGTCGCGGGATGAACACTGTAGTTCGTGCTCTTTTCAATTTTGAGGGATTTAAGTTTAACTATTTGTGCCGTTTGTGTAAAAGATTGACGGGCTTAGTAAATTTCAATTTTTTTACATACACGGCATGCACTAAAAGCATGCTGTAAATGCTTGTTTAATACGGTGTGCAAAGGATGCACGCCGTAAATACTTTAATTAATTAATTTTTTACGGTATACATATAGCACACGCTGTAATTAGTCTATTTTTACGGCATTCCGTAGATGCGCGTCGTAAATGAATGCTGTAAAAGGCTGCTTTTGTTGTAGGGACATATCGTTCCATAGACTAGTTCTTTAACGCTATTGATGCTAGATGGTATTATTTTTACTTGTGATTTTAAAGTACATTAAACATCTTCCAGAGTTATTGATGTGCTCGTGACAAACCCTTGTCATTGAAGGGACAAGTCCAAAAGTCGAACAACCAGCCTAGATCTTGCACCAAGACCTCCAAGCTATGATGTGAAATGCATGGTTGTGAATTTTTATCAATATAATAAAATGTCAACAACAAATTATTTAATTTTGTCGACTTCTTGGATTCTTTTTTACTACCATTTGATTCATTATCAGATGTACTAAAAATTTTAAAGTAATTAATTTATTACTATAGTTGCGTTAGTTTTACTCTAGCTCTTCTCAATTGACAGAAATTCTCTGTTAGGAACATAAGTCTAATTAAGTCCACATGTCATGTCTCAACTACCCATAAGCCATCATTTTCTTAATTTATTCGTCGATCAATATCGTCTCCATTTTTTTTTTTTTTATCAATATCACTTTCCGCTCCAGTTATATATTGGATACCAAACGTGCATAAAAATGCAAGTACAGTATACTTGTCAATTATAATATACATAAAGGATCTCATGAATAAAGGACAGACACAAAGAAAGCCCCGTTTGGTAGCAATGTTTCATCCCAAAAAATCAATTTTTTGACCGTTACTTTACTATTTCAGTTGTTATTTTTGACTTCTTCACTTACAGGTGAGATTCACTTTTCTCTCTAAAGGTCAAAAAATCAATTCTTACAATCATTATCGTAAATATTCTTAGTTTCTTAAAGACCCAAAGGAAGTGTAACCATTGAACATCGAATAATTCTATTTGTACATCCAAATGTGTATTGAATTATTTACCTCATCTCATATGCACGCAGGATCTGCGTAAATAAAAGAAAATCCAAAAATGTGTTCCCCACCCCCTATTGTGAGTAATCAGTAAGAGATTAGGTAAAAAACTTCGATACATGTAACATCGTCCTTGAACATCAAGGCTGAAATTGTTCGTAGTCCAACCATATATGAGAAAATGCCAAAGGAAAAAGTATTTGATCTTCTCTCTCTGTGTAAAAGAAAATCATTCCCAACTTATTTGAACATCAAGTACGCTTGACAAAAATGTGCAATTGATTTTCCGCAAAAAAATCAAAATAAAAAAAATTAACTTCGTCCTTGACTGAATCTAACGTGTCACTTCCGTCAACTACTTCCTATAGGTCTTGTCCATGGAGATAAAACTCTATGTAAATTTGTCTTGTGGTATAATTTTTGGTTATTGAACTTTTTCATTACGTCTACGACTTTTAGGTTTTCCATTGTGATTTAATTTACCTCTTTGTAATCAAAGTACTCCAAATTACAAGATCCGACGAACCTACTAATGTTTTGATCTCTTTACAATTGGAGGACTAGAATGCACGAAATTAATATTTAGGATTGAAATGCACAATATATAATTATGCAGGACGGAAGGAAAATAATGTAGGACAAACGAAATATTTTTGCAAAAAGGAAAAATCAGAAGGATTTTGGAATGAATAAAATTTGGGATATAGTGGCCTATTTATAGAAGATGAAATGTTTTGTCCAAAAGATAGAACGGTCGAAAAGTTGTGTCTTCTTGAACAAACACAACCAATTTGGATAGACAATTTTAACTGTCAACCGACAATTTCTAGAAGATGCCACATGTCGTGCATAGAAAATTCGAGGAAATAAATAATATAATTCAAATATATTACTTAATTTAATAATAAAATAATATGATTCAAATACCAACTTGGCCAAGCCCATGACCCGTGCTGTGTCGCAACCTTGCCAAGCTAAGCCGACTGATCGAAAGGACGACGACGGTCACGTATGGACTTTGGCTCAACCTATTAGCATGTGGGTTCTCTCCACTCCAAAAACTATTGGTATCTCTAGGGGCCCAAACCGAAGTCCTAAACTTAGCAATATAAAGTGGTTTTTATTCTTTTAATTTTCCTATCCGGGATTGGCATTTTTCAATTTGCCACCAGTTTTCATTCCCAATTTATTTCAACTCCAAATGGTTTGGCCTTAATCTTTTATTCACCTTTAATTGGTTTTGAGAAAATAAATAAGTAAATATATATACTAGTCGATGCCACGTGCATTGCACGATTATTGTATTTAATATATCTTTATTAGCGTGATGTAGAGATATTTTAGTTTTCTTGGCTAATTATGCTTTTGAAGTTTGAATTAACTTTTTTGGCATGAATCTTCTCTGGCAGTTAGTAAAAATTAGATTTAAAATTGTGGGAATATAAGTAAAAGATAATTTATAATTTTGCTATAGTAAAGAATAATTTAATTTTCTTTTTCTTTTGTTTTAACCAACTTTTCTTTAGATTATTTTATTATTTTCTTACATTGAAAATTGAAAACATTTTAAATGCATTTAATTATTGAGAGAGTGAGTTTGGCTCCAATTTTCTAAATTAAAATGTTAATTGAAAGAGTATTTTGGAGGATAATTTTAAAGATTGACTCTTTATTATAGAGACTATCTCATGTTTAAAGACTTTTCTAAAGATATTTCATTTAAATAATTCTGAATATTATAAATGGGTTTGGTTTGAAAGTAAGTGGGAATGTGGATTCTTGTGGTTAAAATAGTCAAATTTCTGTGTGAGACATTGCACTTGTGATAGAGGATGAAAACAAACACGTCTCTTTCTTGTAGACAAAAGATAAATGCCAAAAAAAGAAAGAATCTTGCAGAATGCTAAATGCCAAATGTAACTAATGTTAGTAACTATTTCACCAACATACTTTATTTCTTCACTTCAAATTCATAACTCATTTTTCATCTGCATCTTCAATTCATTCATCTCAAATATCAAACTAATTACAGTATGAAATTAAGTAACAAATTCTAAGGTAAGTTGATTTTTATGAATAATGTTATTTATATGAATAACTTACTATTTTTAATCGTTGATATTTGTGAAAGAAATGTGAAGTTTGTATCGAAAATGAAGTTGGTGATGTGGAAAGTAAGTGGGGGAGATGGCCTCACAAATATGTGTGGGGACCCCACATGAATGCGTGGGGACTCCCCGCACGACTGTGTTGGGACTCGCTACACCAATTTGGACTCCCCCGCACTCGAAATTTTCTCTTTTTTTGTTTCTTTTTTTAAAGTTAAATTATAATAATTTTTTATATAAATTGGAGACAAAATCTCAGAATTAGAAATATATATTAAATCTGATGATTGATATGCATTGACAGTAATTTTTTTTTCCAGCTCACATGATATATATGATATATACTTATATGAAATCACGAAGATATGTTGGTATATGTTATGACATTTTTTATTTCTATTATTTGTGCAGATGTCTCTAGATTATATACTGTCACCAAACCAATGATTTTCTGGTACTATCACTTAATACCCTAATTACCAATATGTAAAAGATTGTATAGCATTGCTTCAAGCATATGAGTAATCACTTTTAATCTCTAGCCATAGCAGTTTTCATGAATTTTTTTATGGATTTATGTATAAAGATGAAGAGCAACAATTCAGCAATAAACTAATACATGAATTTACATTGAAGTTTGTTAACTATGGTAAAAGGAATAAGGTGTGGGTGAGGTTGGACGATCATTTTGCTCGTTTTGGCTTGCAAGAATTTTGTTTAATCACAGGATTACCTTGTCATGAAAAATCTGTTAATCTTGATCCCAACAATTCTCGATTTAGAGATCAATATTTTGAAAGTAAAAAAAGAATTAACATGAGAATGCTTTACAATGTATTCCAATTGTGTGAAGATCCGGAGGATAAATTAAAATTGAGATTGGTGATATTGGTAGAATGTGTTTTGACACCAACGGAAAGATATATTGATTATAGAACTTTAGGCATGGTTGAGCAACTGAATGATTTTTTGCTGTATCATTGGGGCCGTAAGACATACTTTGTTTTGTTGAAATCGTTGAAATAATCACATATTGAAAGAATACAAAGAATACAACAGTCTGGCCAAAATGAATGTAAATATATACTACATGGATATGCCCTTGCCTTTCAGGTAATTTTTTTTAAAAATTTATTTACTCTATATTTTGATTTTATACGTATTTAACTTTTATTTTAAATTCTCTGTTGTAATTTTGGATATATGAAGTATTTCCTCAAATTGGAGACAAATTTGGACAACGTATGTATAAAACATTACAGGCTCCAAGAATGCATAAATGGAAATCAAAAAAAAATATTGAGTGAGAGAAATGTAAAGCAAATTTTCACTACCCAAAATGTACGATAATTTTATATATATATTTAACTATCAATTATCTAATTATTTAATAGTGGGAGAGGAAAGTATTATAATTTTTTATTATATTTGTAGATTGAAGTACTTGCAGTGTTAGCACCCACTGAAGAAGAATTGGACAAAGTTTGGTATATGACTTTATCATTACCAACTGATAATCAACATACTATTTTAGATGACATCGTTGGTAGAGAATTTAAGAATGCACATCAACAAATTTCACAACATATGGATGAGCAACAAATTCCACATCGTATGGACGAGCAACAAACAGGTGTTGGTGGTAGTTCAACAGCGCAGATTTCAATTGGA